CACGCAGCATAAATATGGGTCAGTTGGAACAGAAGCGTACTGATGACATCACCATGACATTTCATATGAGAGGAAGAAGAGAAAGAAGAATCTTTGTTTTTGTCCACTGAGCGATTTGCCCACGACCCCCTTACGACGGCGACTGAATTTCAAACATGTTTGATTTTCTCCCGACCTTACGACTCCTGATGGGGAGGGAGTCGTTAGAGGCTGATCGCCCCTCGTTACCCGCTGTACGCTACACCACGCACCATCAGGCGGAAAGTCGGGCCGATCGGAAAATTCTCGCACCACTGTAAAGTCGCTTCGAAAAGGGCGTAAAATCGCACGGTGTAAGCCCAGCTTTAATCTGTAATTGTCCCTGAGAGTAAAAAGCCAGGATGAATGAATGAGTTTAGTGAAGAAATGTTTTTTCTAAGCCTTTAACTTGCTGCCCAGCCAAACATGTGACGGGGCAGCAGGACTCCGTCCCTGTGGGAGCACTGATATGAAGACAGAGTGCTGTTTTCCCTATGACATAATCACTATTAAGTTTCCCTTAATGGCCCCAAAGCAGCTTTCTCTTTCACACTTCACCTTATATACAGTCTTTTCTTTACAAGACTGTAAAGTTCACCTGCACTCCTGACTGTTACTATGGTAACAACTCTTTATATGCATCTTGCACGATTCACAGTACCAATTGTTTACATATACACATTGCAATAACGTACTTTAACTGTAATATGCAATTACCTTCCACTGCACTTTAATTTAGATAGCTTCTGTCCAAACTGTATTTATTCATTTTATAGTAAATCCCATCTGTATATTATGCTATTGTACATAACTGTAAAAACATTTTTTAAAGTAATATCCACCTGTATATTATACTAGTGATCTATATACAGAGATGGCAAAAGTACTCACTTTCCGTACTTGAGTAAAAGTACAGATACTTGTGTTAAAAAATACTCTGGTAAAAGTGGAAGTACTGATTAAACTTCTTTACTCCAGTAAAAGTAACAAAGTACAGGCTTGTAAATTTACTTAAAGTATAAAAGTAAAAGTAGAAACCACTTTTTTCATGCCGTTGCCTACATTTTAAAT